ACCATAACACTATGCAAATAAGTTTGGTGTTGTTAGGAAAATTTCCCCCCAGTTATGTGAACAAATAAACCAGTGGGCCCATGGCAGACAAATGGACTCCTACTGGTGGAGCTCCCTGGGAAACTGGGAGCTATGGTTAGGAACTCTATTGGTACTAACCTCCTCTCATATTCCTAACAGGACCCTACCTATTAAATTGGCTCACATCTTTCATTACAAAGCAAACAAACAACATCAGTGTTTTGATGACTCTCAGTTTATGATTTTTCTGATTAACTGATTTTTCTGATTAATAAAAAGAGGGGAATATGAAGGATGAAAATTAAAATTTTAAATAAAAGCCTGCCCCAGATGCCTGCCAAGACCAAGCTGCCCTTGTGTAACTGATGGCCTTACAATGTAACTTAAAATGTAATAGGACATTTCTCCCTTTGTATAACCCATGCTTTGTACAACTGATAGCCTTATGATGTGACTTGAAATGTTTAGATTTCCCTAACAACACATGATGACACCCAACCCTCCAATCATATGCACCAAATCTGCCTTTGTACCTCCCTGCTCACTTTCCCTTTAAAAGCTCTGAAACCCTGCTGGGCAGGGCCCTGGCTTTTTAGGAGAGATTCTAGTCAGAGGCCCACCAGTGTAATAAACTGCCTCCTTAATCTCCTTGGTGTCATTTTTTCTGTGTTTGGTCTGTTTTCTACAACAATCCTAGTCATTGTCTTCTGCCTCTTAACCTCCTCAGTATGTTACATGGGTTGGAGCAGCTTGAGATTTTGTAGCCTCAATTGCAGTTAGGGATTGCATGGAGCATGGGGTCCCTACCCATGGAGCACCCTTGCACTAGGTGATGGTAGTACTTGTACCACATTATATTTGTAAGACATTTTTATTTTTCACAAATCATTGCATTCTGTCACAATCCTTAACTTTTTGGTACTGGGACTGAAACCAAGACCTCCTGCATGCTAATAACACTGTCCTACTACAGACTTACACACCTCCAGCATCCAGCTTGTTTCTTTTTCCTTTTTTTCGTACAGAGTTTAATTATGCAGTTCAGGCTGAACTTGAACTCACTTTGTAGCCCAGGCTGGCCTCAAACTCAAACCTAGAGTGGGTGTAGCATATGTATGCTATAAGGGACAGAAGGAGTCTTGTCTCCACACTTCTCCCTTTTTGCTCTTGTTGCTTTTGTTATCTTCTACTGCCACGAACTGTTGCCTTCTTCCATGTGCCACTGTGCCTTAGAGCCTTGCCTCAGCCTCCTAAGTGCTGGGATTACAGGTGTGTGCCACTATGCCTGGTCTTGTTTTTTCTTTTTTTAAAGTAATAAAAAATAGTTTTTTCTTTGGGGCATAGTGCTACATACCTGAAATTTGAGAAACTAAAGCAGGAGGATCACAATGAGTTTGAAGTCATCCTGAAGTGTATAACAAAGACCCTGTCTCAGAAAAACCAAAACAGAGAAAAAAAAAATTTCCCCTTGGGCAAATATGAGTGGCCCAGGAACATGGTTTCAAGTTTCCCTGAATGACATGTTCCCAACATTTTAAACTTTTATTTACTTCTTATGATTGTCTTCTTTTGTTTTTTTTTTTTTTAGAAAGAGTGTTACTGTGTAGCCCGGGCTAGTTTCGACCTCACAATCCTGTTGCCTCAGGTTCCCAAATATTGGGTACAGACATATTACCACCAGACTAGTTCTCCCCATGATTTCAAGCTTCCCTTAGTCATGCCTTATTTCCCTAAATAGTGTAACTATGCTTTTATTCCATTTCCTCCCAGCCGTGCCTGGTCTACACGTGGCTCTAGCCAGCTAGCATGAGAGAGCAGTATGTTCTCTCTTAGCATTGTTTTCTGTCATGGAGATTTGGAAGAATGGGGCTGTCTGCAGAGCCACATACTCTGGTGTTTTTGACAAGGTTTCTAGGGCTGTCTGCTGGTTCCACCTTATAGTACTTAGTATAGCTTTCTTGGAATAAATCTGTCTTTCTGTTTGAGGCTATTTGGAGACTTTATTCCTAATCTCTTTATCTCCTTCCCTGGGGTTAATGTGAAGTACCATTGACTCTCTCAGGAACCCCCCTCCATCTCTCCATTCTTCTCCCCATATGGTCTCTGACTTGCATTTCCAGAGCTCCTCCATCTGCTGCCTGGAAATCCCCTCCTGTTCCAGCAGTGACAGTGACAGGCAGACTCGTGATCTGGGGGAGTAGTGGTGAAGGAAAAGGCAGAGCTATGCCTTAATCCCAACCCAGAGTCCACTTCACCCTAGGCCAATGTCCGGGAGACCTAGGAAAGAGGTGACCTGGGCCTGTCCTGGCCCCTTCACTACTTGGCAGATGTTGGTTGTGCTCCCTGAAGAGGAAGGCCTAGATCCTGGAGTTAAGTTTTGTTTCCACCACTGCTAGCCAGTGATCAGGACAATGTTCTTTATCATCCTGGGCTTGTTTCTTTGCCTACCAAAGAGGACAATGGGGACAGCTTGGTATGATAGCGTTAGGGTGCTCACTACAGGGCCTGGGACACCTCAAATGTCAGCAATATCAGCTGGATAGGCTGGGTCATCCTATATCTCTGATGCTGATGCAGAAAGAGGTAAGCAATGGGGTAGGGGGAGGTAATAGAGGAGGGGTGAGGGAAAGAGGTACCATGGAAGGCTGAAGGAAGTGCCAAGGAAGAGGAAGGAAGGGAAGGAAGCTGGGGCAGATGGGCTTCTTGACTCGGATAGGATGGGATGAAGGATCACAGATAGAAAGGGCCTGTGATCCCAGCACTAAGAATGCTGAGCCAGAAAGATTGCCATGAGTTTGTGGCTAGCTGGGCTACATGGTGAGTTCAAGTCTGAACTGCATAGAGACCCTGTCTCAAAAATCAAAAATCTAACCCAGAAGCAAGAGGCAGCTCCACTGTGGGGTGAAACCTGGGGGTGAGTGACTACGAGTAGAAAGGTCACATGTGTAGTCCCTGGTAGATGCTGGGGGTGTGACTTGTGTCTGCAGCTGCCTTAGAGACTCAGCCTGACCTCACACCACAATTAGGCAGAAAATAGGATATTGAGGAGCCTGTGAGTCTTGGAATCTCCACCACACTGATAAGGTGCACTTTACCAGCTCCTGTGTCAGCCAGAATTCCCCAAGGGTGGACTTCCCTTCTGTTCCTTGGTCTAGATTTTCCCTTACATGTACCTTCCTCAGCTTCCCAGCCAGGGCCACTTCCATGACTTGAGCTGCCTGGTTACTTGAAGATTGGTCAGGACTGGAAAGCTTGAGGCAAGAGACAAAAGAGCAAGATGGAGGAAGTCACCTAGGGGAAGGAGAGAGCCAAGAGAATATCTGAGAACTCTGGGAACCTCACAGTGAAGTTGAGGCTAGAAGACCTAGGCCTGTCTTTGCTCCTCATTATGACTTCAGGAAGAATGAAGATGGAAAAGGTATATGAAGTGAGCAGGGAAGAGGGAAAGAGGAGAGGCAGATGACTTGGGTAGTAGAACAAAGGTCCACTCTGAAGGCCTGTCACTGTCACTCTGCTCAAAGTAATAGCACTGTAACCTTGGCAAGGGCAAGGAGCTTTAGAGGGAAAGGAAGTTGAAGAGGTGGAGACAGTGAAGATTCTTCTTTTCAGAAACCAAAGAGGTGAAAAAGAGGGAGATAGAGGAATAGTTTCCAATTGTTCTCTGTATATGGCCTCCTACCCTTTGAACTAAAACAGACTGGGGCATAAAGTTCAGACAGACTCAATCTGCCAAAGGTGCCCCAAGGAGGTTCCTGTTGTGGAAGGTGGGCCTGAGATCTCAGCAAGAAGGCTAAGAGAAAGATGACCTTATCACCTACATGGAAAAGTTGGTGAGCAGGCACCTAGGCCACTTAAGAGAATTATCTGATTTTGCAGCATGAGTTTGGGGATCAAGAGAGACCTAGACTGGGTGACAGTGAAGCAGAGCTTCTGAAAGGGAGGGGATGAAAAGGGAAGCAGACAGCCAGAGCTGAAGAGTAGAGATGGGGCAAGCCAGTTGGGGTACCCAGGGTGTCAGTCAGTCATCTTCAAGGCATGGCCAGCCTCCAAGAAGCTTGGGGGAACCATTCTCTGCTGTTGCTGCACCTGTAGGTGTGGAGCATGAGGCATTAGTAGGACATGAAAGAGAGCCCTAACTCTAGAATGTTCAGAAATTCCGGGGGCCCTTGACAGAGCTTGGGGGGGGGGCTTTTTTTTCTGGAATTAAGAGATAATGTCACCAACTGCTGGTCAGAAGACAGTGGGTCTTAGTCTAGAAAAGCCTGGGTATAAGTGGAAGGATTCTTTTTTTTTTTTTTTTTTTTTTTTTGTCTTTCTCCTTTTTATTGGTACCGGGGATTGAACTCACGACTGCCTGCTTACAAGGCAGGCGCTTATGCCACTGAGCTAAATCCCCAGCCCCCCAAAACTGGAAGGATTAATATGAAAATACAGGAGGGCGCAGTAAAAGTCCAGGACCTCACAGGAGTCAGTGTCTCCCGAACATGGAGTGAAGAAGGCCAGCAGCCCACACTTGAGATTTTTCGCCTTCAAGATCGTCTCCTGGGGACACCGTGTTTTGGCGCCTAGAGTAATGCAGAAGGCTTGCCTTGACTTAGGAACCCCACCCTTAGCCGGAGGGCCTGGGGCTCCACTCACAGAACGCGAAGAAAACCACTGCCCGGAATCGAACAACTCCCGCCCCAAGCCACTGCAGAGGAGGCGGAGCACTTGAGGACCCGCCCTATATGTTAATAAGGCATGTCATCTCCCCGCCCCGGTCCGGTCACCCGACGGGTCCAACGCCGAGGAGGCTGAGGGGCCAGCGGCACCATCTACGGCCTCCGCCGATGCTGAGGCGTGGTAGAACACCTGGATTTGGGGCAGAGGGTGGCGGTAAAGAAGAGATTGTCAGTAGGTTGCCCGACGTCCGGGGCAGTGGCTCCCCCATCTGTGCAAGGTGGTATGGCCTATAGGGGCGGGGCCTGAGTCATGTGACGGGACCACTGCCGCCATTTTGCTCTGCGGCGCTGGTATTTAGAGCGCAGCAGCTGACGGGCTAGTTAGCCCTGTCTTTCGCTGCCGCCTACTTCTGCTAGCTTGCCTGCTTGCCCGCCTGCCTGCACGCTCTCCCTCCTCGTCCCGAATTCGCAAGCCTCGCTTGACCCCGCCTCGTCTGCAGACATGTCCGAGGCCAAAGCCAGCCCCGAATATGCTCCATTTTTCGGCGTGATAGGCGCCTCGTTCGCCATGATCTTTAGCGGTGAGCGCCGTGGCAGGCGGGGGCCAGCCTGGGGCGGGGGGCGCCGGGTCTCCGAGGTTTCTTGCCTGCAGCTTGCGGGGAGGCGTGACGTCACTCTGACGTAATCTCCCGCTTTGGAGGTGCCAGGCGCGAGTACCAGGAGGAGACGGATATTGAGAGCTTCGGGGCCATCCTGGGCTCGGGTCGTGCGGGCTCAAGATCCCCAGTGTTCCATCCCCGGCCCTGGCAGCCAGTACGCATCGGTGCGGGGGTGGGGCCGCAGCACTGCTGCCATTTTATCCCTGAGAAGCGAGAGGAAGACAGGGGTGGGGGCGTGAGGGGCGGTGCGCTGTCCAGGGCCTGCACCGCATCCCGCATTCTGCGGGCAGGTGTGACATCACATCTAGGAGAGCTCAAGATTTGTGGGCGGCGGCGGTCCAGGGTCGGGAGCGCTGAGGCAGGGAGTCCCTGGCCTTCTGGTTTCTTGGCCTGTGTGAACCTGTCCACACCAATGTCCGCATCCCAAACTTGTGGCGGCCAGACTGACTGGGGTTAAATGGGGTGTACCCTGAGCCAGACGCTTCTGTTTGGGGCTCGTCGCAGTTTTCCAGTAGTCCAGTCAGCTGTGTGGGTTGATTGGGAAAGCTGGGCTGAGGGATGATGGGCTTTTGGAGCGCGCAGGAACCCAAGGGTGGCTGTGAGAGGTTAGGGAAATGACGAGGCTGTTGTGGGGTGGTGTGTGGGAGACAGCACTTTTGTGAACATATGCTGAGGGTCTGTGCTTGGAAGTGGGAGAGAGGGCAATAAGAGATGTCAGCGTTTGTAGGATTGAGTTTTCTTTAGGAGAGTCCAATTCTGTACCAGTGAATGGATGGGTGCATGAATGACCTTTTCTTCAGGGACCTGGAACCAGGAGGGACTGTCTCATGGTGGAGAAGAGACCTTACAGGGTTCTTGATGGCATCTGCTTTTTTTTTTGCACTTAGGCCACTGAGCTAAACCCCCGGCCCGATGTCATCTGCTTTTGAGGTTGGGTAACATGGTCCTAGACTGTCAGATTTAATGAAAATTGGCTTTTCTGGATAGTGGAGGTTGAGCCAGGTCAAGGAATTTGGGACTGAGGGAGGTAAGTCGCAGCTCTAGGGACTAGCCTGGTCTGGTCTGGGCTTCCTTGGGTAGGTCTAGTTTTTTTGCTTAAGTAGCCCCGCCCTGCCCCACCCTACTTGCTGAACTGGGGAAGCTCCTAAAGTAGGTATGTTGAGGGTTTGAACTCCAAACAGTCTTTGCTGACTGTAAATACCTGTGGGGTAGGGGCTTAGAGGCCCTGCTTTTTTGGGGGCCTCTTTCTGCCTGGGCCTGTCTATTAGTCACGCGCTGCTGAGTGAGTCCTGACCTTCCCTATTCCCTTTGAGTAAGGGGTCATTTGTGGTGGGAGATGTGGTCTGGACTTCTCTTTCCTTCCCTGGCCACACCTGCTGTTCCCAGATCTCTTGGGCTTCTCTAAACAAGCTGTGGTACACCCGTTTTGTGCAGGTTTCACCTAGAATGCCTCCAGAAGTTCGGGGTCTGGCTCCGTGGATAGTTTCTGTTTGTGACTTGACAACTTTCATTCAAATCTTGATTGGGTAGTTATTATGTGTCATTTATGAGGGGGTTGGTAAATTAGCTACATGAAATTGTCCAGTGAATCTTGCACTGGAGCTGTCAGGGTGGGTTCTGCTGCTCTTTCTCTGTGCTCACCTCCCTCTCCCCTTTCTGTGAAGAACTTGCATGTGGCTGGGTACTATAGCATGCAAACTACTTGAGAGGCTAAGGCAGAAGGATAGAAGATCAGCCTGGGTAATTTACCAAAACCTTGTCTCAAAAAATAAAATAGGTTGATAGTGTAGGGTTTTTTTTTTGGTGCAGGTGGTCGAACTCATGACCTCATGCTTGCCAGGCAGGTGCTTAAGCCACTGAGCTAAATCCCCAGCCCCGGAGAGTGTAGCTTAGTGGGAATGTCAAGTGGATTCAATCCTCAATGCTGGAAAGAAAAAAACAAAAGCAGCAAAAAAAAAACACACCAAAAAACCCTGCATGTGCTGCTTTCCAAGCCTGGTAAGCAGATGTCTGCACACCAAGAGCACAGTCTTGTTGGTTAGGCCTTCACTGCATGGTCACACTCCTTGGGATTGGAGTCTACACAGGCTTTTTGGCCTTGGTGCAACATCTGTCTGTGTACCTTCAACTCCACTTCTCTACACATGGGGCTTAACACAGCCTTAGGTTGCTAACCTCTGGCTTGGCCAGTTGAATCAATGTCTGACCTCATTTCTGCCCTGTAAGTGTGTCTTTTTTCCACAAGACATGTCTTCATCTTTGCTACCAGAGCAGGTCCTTCTGACCTTGGTGGCCTCTGGTTGTTGAACTGACTGTAAGCTATGTGCTTGAGCCAGCTCACATTTGCTAGTCTTTAAACCAAATGAAGCCCACATATTTCAGGCAACCTGGACCCCATCTCTCACGTTCTAGCTTCCTCTTTTTTCATATGACAAACATCCTGTTGATTCTTTCTTCATCATGTCTTCATGAAGCTGTTGGTTGCTCTTTTCCGCATTTTCTGTGACTTCCTCCCTGCTTTGGTGCTTGTGTTCCTGTAACTGCCTCCTGACTCTGCTCTCTGCTTCACTGACACCGGCGTTGTTGGCAGTACTGTTGTTGTGGCCAGTTTTATCTTTTACAGTCACAGTCCCATCAGTTTGATTTCCTGGACCACTCTGCTGACCAGGTCTGGTTTTCTCTCACTTGATCTGGCTGCAAGTGTTCATTGGAATTTTTCATGTTCAGTCCTCATGTTTCCTTGTCCACTCTCTAACCACAAGGCCTTCTGAGGAAAAGCCCAGCTTACTTTCTGTCTCTTTCACAGTTTCATTACCTGCAGTGCTAAGCTTTCAGTTTTAAACCTTCCCTCATCCCAAGAGAGTCAGTCTGTGCTCTCCCTGTGGAATGACATGTTCCAAAGGTGTGAGCCTTGAGGCACTATTCTCTTGTATGTTTAAATATAAGTCTGAGATAGAACTAGGCCTGCAGAGAGGACCCAAAATTGCACCCTGACCAGTGGAGTTCCAGGAATGACCTCTCAAGCCAAGTTGCTGGCAGTGTCTGTACCACTGTGCTGAGGAAGAGGTAGTATGGCCCCAGCCTTGCTTCCTCCTTCCAGTTGCCTGCTTGTCCACTCTTGTGGTGTCTGTATGTATTGGCCATGATCTTCTCTGCCCTGTCTCCCTATGTCTCCTGCTCACTGTCGCACCTCCATCTGTCTCTCTAGCTCTGTGCCACTTTTTGTCTGTGGCCCTTTGAGAGGTACTCCTACCCCCATCTCCACCCCACGTTACTGCGTTGGTTACTTTTCCTGTCTTTTTGCTGGACTTTGAGTCCTGAAAAGACAGTCTCTCTGACCTCGTCTTTGTTCAGTGCTGGGCACAAAATAGGCATATTTTTGGCTCAGAGAGATTCCCAACAGAGAAATGACTGGGATGCCCTAGTCCCTTCCTTCTCTGGACCTGTGTTGTCTTCTGCAGGTTAAGCCAGCTGTTACTGTCTCTGCAAAGTGACTTATGTGGGTGCTCTGGCCAGATGGAGAAAGGGCTGCAGTGTGACCTATTCAAGCAGCTCAGTAGATCTTGAAGGGCGTTGATCTTGAAGGGCAGGTGGCAGAAATCAAGAGCTACACTTCTGGGCAATGTGATATACACCTGTAATCCCAGCACTAGGGAGACTGAGGCAGGTGGATTGCCTTGAGTTTGAGGCCAGCTTGGACTACACAGTGATACTTTGTCTCAAAAAGCAAAACAGAATTTAAAAGAGATGCATTAAAAGAACTGAAGGAGAGGGGAATTGAGAATTTAAAAGGCAACATTCCATGGAGATTTGAGATTTTAGTTCCAAAAGGGACAGGCTAGAGTCTAGCTTCCCTTAATTGTCATGTCATCTAGTGGGAGTCTTGAAAACCACAGTGCAAGGAGGGTTCACCTCAAAGCTTTCTGAGACCTCATGATTGAGTTGGATGAGGACTCACAGTCTGTCATCTTTCTTATGCCCTGTCTCTTTGGCTCACTATTGCGCCTCCCTCCGTGGTTATTTAGGGAGGATCCTCTAATCTTCTGAGGTTTCAGGGCCCTGCTGTATAGCTGAGGGATAGAGAGCTGCCCTGACAAAGTACAGCCCTGTTAGAGGCGGCCATTTTAGGACTGGGTGTAGAAGGAAGTTGAGTAGGCTGCGTGTTGAGTCTGGAAGCTCTGGCCTGGTGAGCAGGAATTGCCAGATCAGCTGCTAATGATGCTGATGTGGCAGGGCCTGTACCCCACCTCTCATGGCAATTCTAGCTTGTTTGTCCTTGATAGTAGACAAGAACTGGCTGCTGGGATCCCCTCATGCTTTTCTAGGCCTTTCCTGACTAGAAGTACTGAATACCTCAGGTGGGACCAAAAAAGTGCCTAGCATCTCAAGTAAGGCTTTTGAGGTCCCAGTGGCCTAGTCCTGTGTGACTGGCCTGCCTGGTGTCACAAGCAGCAGGCTGGGAGAGTGATGGAGAGCAGGATTGAGTTTCATAGCAAAACAGGACCCTAGACAACCACAAGAGCAACCTCAGGAAGGGTTTGGGGTGTGGGGTGCAGTGAGTGGACTAGATAAATGGTTACAGCTATGGCTGTTGTTCCTGCAGAGTTCTGGGTGCCTTCTCCCCCATGAGTGGTAACTTGGGGATTTCTCACAGTTGTGCCAAAGCTGCCCTTTTGGTCCTCTCTGAGCAGTCAGTGCTATTCTGGGCTGATCTTACTTCCCTCCCACAGCCCTGGGTGCTGCCTATGGCACAGCTAAGAGTGGCACCGGCATCGCAGCCATGTCCGTCATGCGGCCCGAGCTGATCATGAAGTCCATCATTCCAGTGGTTATGGCTGGTATCATCGCCATCTACGGCCTGGTGGTGGCAGTCCTCATCGCCAACTCTTTGAATGAGGGCATCACTCTGTACAGGTGAGTGTGGCATGCCCTTCTAGGCACTGTCTTCCCTGGCAGGCATGCTGCTAATAGCCCTGTGTTTCTTCTTCCCCCCAGGAGTTTCCTCCAGCTGGGTGCAGGCCTGAGTGTGGGTCTCAGCGGCCTGGCAGCTGGATTTGCAATTGGCATTGTGGGGGATGCTGGTGTGCGGGGCACTGCCCAGCAGCCCCGACTTTTCGTGGGCATGATCCTGATCCTCATCTTCGCGGAGGTGCTTGGCCTCTACGGTCTCATCGTGGCCCTCATCCTCTCCACAAAGTAGCCTGTCATGAGCCTACCACCCCCCATTTCAGAAGGAACAGCCTGACACACACCCATGGGCCACCGCCCTCTCCATAGTTGGTCTTGTAAATGCGCAGTGTCCTAGTGCCCATCGTCTGTTGCCCCGCCTGCCCCTTCAGCCCTGTGCCGTGGACATCTGGGCCCACTCATCACCCATCCAGGCCCCAGACCAGTGAGGATGCCGGCGTCTGGCCCCCTCCCACTCATCGTCCTAGAGTGCTTTGTGTATAAGGAAGAATTAGAGTTGTCATTTTTCTCTTCACTGGATGTTTATTTATAAAGATTTGACCTGTTCCTACTTCTATCTATATAGTAGCCTTTAGAGTGTTGCCTTGGGATTCCCAGCGCTGAGGCGGAAGATGGCCCCACCCTTCTGCCACCTTCGGACTCCCGAGTCTGGAGGCACAGTGTCAGCCCCGCCAGGCTCTGGAGCCATGCTGTGCCCAATAAAAGTTCTCGGATGTGACCAGAACCTGTGTCTTAGTCCTTGCGGGGTGGGGTGGGGTGGGGTGGGGTGGGATAGGGTAGGGTAGGGTAGGGTAGGGTAGGGTAGGGTAGGCCAGGCCAGGCCTGCCTTGCCGTGCAGTGCTGTGCCGTGCAGGCTTCGGCCTCTGGCTGCGGTGCAGCGGCGCAGTTGATTACGCGGTCTGTGGGCGGTCACGTGGCGGGCCGGTACGTGGAGCCGCCGCCGTCAGCTGACAGTCACGTGGTACGGACTGCTTGAGCTGCTTCCTGAACGCTGCGGATCCGGCGTTGCCGGCTCAGGCGCCTCAAGATGCGCGGTGGGCAAGTCGCGGAGCGGGCAGCGGTGCTCCAGTTCACAAACTGCCGCATCCTGCGCGGTGGCATGTTACTCAGGTGCGGGGGGCGGGGCTTGGGGCGGGGCAGGGAGGGCGGGGGGTCGGGCGGGCTTGCTGAGAACCTGCCGCTCCATTTTGTCTGCAGGGAGGACTTATGGGTGCGTGGGGGTCGTGTCCTGGATCCTGAAAAGCTGTTCTTTGAGGAGCGCCGAGTGGCCGATGAGCAGCGGGACTGTAGAGGCTGCATCTTGGCCCCGGGCTTCATCGACGTGCAGATGAACGGTGCGACCGGGCGGGCGGGGTCGGAGGAGCCAGGGAAAGAGGCGTGAGCAGCGTGAAACCCCTTCTTTTTTGTGGCCACAGGTGGATTTGGTGTTGACTTCTCCAGGGCCACGGAGGACGTGGGTTCAGGTGTCGCCCTGGTAGCCCAAAGGATCCTGTCCCACGGTGTCACCTCCTTCTGCCCCACCCTGGTCACTTCCCCACCCGAGGTTTACCATAAGGTGAGATCAGGCACATTTCCTCAGGCAAAGAGGTGCAGCCAGCCCCTTAACTTCCATTCCCTCCCCCTCACCGCACACTCTGGCAGATGAGTGGCCTCTTTTCCACTTAGTTCTGGCCCTGGCCCCGTCACCCCACCATGGGGTTTCTCTGTAAATTGTCCCTTCGTTCCCTTTACAGCTGGCTACACATTTATCTCTTAGCACATTCACCTGTCAGAGGCCCTTTCTACCCTGATTAGCCATCTCCCAGCCTCCTGGCCCAGGATCTATGAGGACTCTTGATTGCTATAACGGTTGTCTCTGGTGGGGCTCTTCCTACCTAATCTGCCTGTGGTGTACGACTCACTTAAACATGCCTTCTACAAAGAGATTGTCCTCAGTGCTGCAGTTACTCGCTGCTGAATCCCCACCCTTCTTCCTCGGTTAGAAGGAATTTTCTTGTTTGGTTTTCCTTCCAGTTTTAACTTGAGCTGATTCTGCCTGCATGTCTTTTGCAGAATCATTTTAATATAAGTTACATACATTATTCATGTTTACTGCATAATACTTCTTTCTTAAAAACGTGTATATTCTCTTAAGCAAACACAATTCATGAGTTGGGAAATTTTCACTGCTAGCCATAATGTAATGCATGCAGTCTGTTCCTGTTTTGTCAGTTGTCCCAGCTAGTTTTCCTTCCAAATATAGGATGCACTTAAGATCGGAGAGTGTGCGACTGCCCCTGGGTCCCTTTCTGGATGTATGAATGAATCAGAGAAAGGAGCTATGAGGGTCTCACTAGGCTGGCCTTGAGCTCACTTTGTAGTGCACACTGGTTTTGAACTTGGAATGATTCCCCCACCTCCTGAATACTGGGTTTACAGGCTTGTGCCACCACGCCCATCTTAGACTTCTTTTCTACCAGTTTCCCCAAACCTAAAGTGGGAATGATCAGTCTCAATCTCTTGTGATTGCGTGGTTGGTGTGACTTGGTGTATATTAAGCACTGAGTAAATATTAAGTAGAGATGTATTTCTAGAAATACCCCACAACTCAGCAAATTCAGAGACCAAACTCACTTTTTCCACTGCCAACAGGAGCCCAGTTCTGTAAGCTGTCTTTCCAAGCTCTGGGTCCTGCCAGCTGTTCCCTGATTTCACCTCTATGATGTTCCCTTCCTACCTGAAGAGCTTCTTTTTTTCTTACCAGGCACATTCCAGAGCTTCAAGTGTCCTTTCTCCTGTCCCCAAGCTCTATCTAGAAGGCTTTGTTTTCTTGATAGCCAACTGCTCCCATGCTGCCATTGCCTCCTCTTGTGTCTTGCTTCAGCAGCAAGTCTGCACACCGTGATGTAGATAACTGGCTTTTTTTTCCTTGAAGAAGGACCTTAGTGAATAGTGCTTGTGTTTTTTTACCTGGCTCCACTGCAGTCCAGTAGCTTAAAGACTTGACAAACCTTTCCTTGGAAGCCACGATGCCAACTGTTAATTGTAGAGATTGTAGAGGGCCTTAGATGTGAAATTGTAATACCTGTGTTATCTTAGAAATCACAGGACTCTTCCCCCACTTTGTGCCCTTCTTCCTCCAAGGTCCTTCACACACTGAATTGCCATTTTGCCAGAAGTTACTCAGGTCTTTCGTTACTAATATCTAGTTCATTGATACCACCACCTCTTTTTCTGGTGTGTCCTTTAGCTCTGTCCTTTGCTATTCTTCCAAGAAGCAAATCTGATGCCATTGTTTCTTGCTTCAAGGTGGTTACCTGCTGAGTTGAGATTAGGCACCTCCTTAGGGTGGCATCCAGGCCATGTCTCTGGTCCCACATGCCCTCCTTCCATGATTTTTTACCTTTCCAGATGTTTGTCTGCATTCTTTGTTTTTTACTTAGTGCTCTCTTACTTTCCCTTTCAAAACTCTATTCTAGGAAAATTCAGTCTTCTTGTTACTATGTTTAATCTATAATGAAATTCTTTGTCCATATAGCTTGTTGGGAAAGACCGAACACCTTTGCCTCAAACTAGGTCTCACACTAGGCTTCATCACTTATCACTTCCGACTCAACTCTTCTTCCTTTTTTTTTTTTTTGAGACAGGATTTCTTCACTCTGCAGTTAAGGCCTTGAACTCATTATGTAGTCCAGGACTTGCAGTGATGCTTCTGCTTTAGCGTTCTGAGTGTTGGAATTACTGATACACACCTTTTGGAATTTATCCCCACATATCTCACAAGTGTGCTGGCTTTCCTATTTTTTTTTGGTTTAGGACAGTATCTGTTACCTCCTGCCAAGAATGATGAGGATGAGAATTAGCCTTCTCTAATCTACTTCCAATTCCTTGTCCGTATCAAGTAGTTAAGGTAACTTTGTTTTTTATTTGGTACTAGAACTCAAACTCAGAACCTCGCGTTTGCCTGGTAGGAGCTGTGCTGCTGAGGTATATCCCCAGCCCAGTTACGAGTGGCTTTGATTGGATCTGTATTGCTCAGTCATTGAATCTGTATGAAGGAGGCCCTAGGTCAGTTATATTTTCTTACCTGCCAACTCTGCTCTCCTTGGAGTTAACATTCTTTGCTTGTTTTGGTTTTTTGTTTCTGTTTTTTTTCAGCTATTAACTTTACCTATAAGCTTCCTGCTAATTGTCTTGTCTCAGGCACTTTTCTTTTCTTTTTTGTTTTTTGAGTCAGTATCTCATTGTATAGTTAAGACTGGCCTTGAACTCATGGTGGTCCTCCTGCCATAACCTCCTAAACTCTCAGGCAATTTAGCTACAATGCAGACTCAGATTTGTCTTCCTGCTCTTCCCAGCACTAGTTATTCTTTCACCAGATTCCAGCTCTCCTGGGGAGTCCTGTTCTCTCACCTGGAGCTAGGCTGGGCTGGGGGCGATATCTCTTGGCCTTTACTGCTGGATGTCTCATGTCCTGTGTTTTCCTCTTAGCTGCTTTACAGCTTTCTTTTGTTGGAGCATATTCTTCATTAACTTCATTAACTTCTAGTGAAGAGTCGTGGGAGGGTAAATTTTTGAGATTGCAAAGTTTGAAAGTGACTGTTCTGTTGATCCCTGGCTTAGCTGGTTTAGAGTTTTAGGTGAGAGGTCATTTTTTCTTAATTTTGTGTGTCTGGAACTCATGGCTTTAAGCATGCTGTTTATACTTTACTACTGAAATAGATTCCTAGCCCAAGACTCTTGTACTCCACTCAACTGCATTTTAACTTTTTCTTTTTGAAACAGAATTTTGCTATGTTGTACAGGTTAGCCTTGAGTATCTGGGCTCACATCATATCAAGTAGCTAGGACTACAGTTTGTGTGATTTCTCCCTAGAATGTTAAGGGCAGTACCTAAGATAGTCTTTGAAGTTCCAGAGTAGCTGCTGAGAAGCCATTTGATCCCTGATCCTCTGTGGGTGATTGATTTTTCTCTCTGGAAGCTTACAGGGTCTGTTATTGTCCCTGGATCCGAGGTCTCAGAGGAGCATACTGTGGGAATGAGGAGGTGTTGACCCATCTGTTGTTTACTGAGCAGCCATGTCCAACTAGAAGCTCTGCTTTGAAGTTTTGCTTTTCTTGAATTATTTCCTTGGTGATTTATTATTTTTTTATTTTTATTTTTTTAAGACAGGGGCTCCTTATATAGTACAGGCTGGCCTTGAACTGTGTAGTCAAGGCTGGCCTCAAACTCATAGTGATCTTCCTGCCTCAGCCTCCTGAATGCTGGGATTACAGGTGTGTACCTCCATGCCTGGTTTCCTTGGTGACTTTTCTTCTGTTTCTGTATCATTTTATAGGAGTCACACTAATTCACTATTGGGTGGCCTGGCCACATTTATTTTTTCCTCGTCCTCCTCTTCTTTTTTTGGATTCTACTTTCTAGATATTTCCTCAGCTTTTATCTTCTAGTTCTCTTGGTTTGGTGCTTGCATGTTTTTAGTTTTAAAGAGCTTGTTTTATTGCCCCCCTGAATGGTTCTTTTTTCTGATGTCCTATTTTCACATCATGGATCCAAGACCTCTCATTGCCCTGAGAGTATTTGGGATGGTGGTTTGCTGTGTACTATGCTCTCGGCCTGCTTCTCCCTACCAAATCTTCTTGTGGGCTGCTTCCTTGCGTGTTGCCTGGGTAACTGTGCTCTGTTTGAAGGCTGGCACCAACAGGCTGCTGAGAGCATTTAGCCTTAGGGTAGTGGGGAGTTTCTTGAGGGGACACTTATAGGTCAGGATCACTGGGTCCTGACTTGGGCTTGTCACATTCCCTGGGAAATCTTACCATTCTGCCCCAAGGTAACAAGTGTGGCTGGCCTTTCACTTAATTACCTGGTTTTCTATTGTGATTTGATCTATGCCTGCCTAGAGGCCTTCTCTTGTTTGAGTATATTTGAAACAGGAGTTCCAGGGACCCAGCTCTACTCTAATGAAGTTTCTTAACTAGTTGCCTTCCCCTGTCCCCTCAGCCCATTTCTTCCAGTGCCAGGGGCCGTGGGACCTGAGCCAGTGGGGTTGTTTCTTACCTTGTAAGTCTGCCCAGATCTGTTCAATGTCTGATGTCTAGCTCCTAGAGTCTGACTGACCCTCCCTCATTCTCTTCATCCTGTAGGGTTTAAGATCTTAAAAGACCTTCACTTTTGTTTAGAGTGGGCGTTCCAAGGGAGGGCATAGTCAGACCACTATTCTTGTCCAGCTTTTCCAGAGCTACAGACTCTAAGAAACCACTATGGCTATGCTCATGCTGGAAGAAGTTACCTCTGGCTGGGTCGCCTGGTTCTTCAGCCCCTGAGACTGAGTATGAATGTCTCTCTCCTCCCTGTGCTATGAACATCTCTCTCCTCCCCATGCTGTGAACTTCATAATCACAGTGGCTGCTGAGTCCTGTTGCCTTCTGCACTGAGCTCTCCAACTTGCAGCCCCTGCCCCGGCCCTGCTATTCTTGTGAGCCCTGGCCTGCAACTAAAGGAAACCAGAGTCATTCTTTAGGGACTCTTCTTGACACATACACATTTTAACTTCTGCTGGACACAGGGCAGATTAGAGTTGCTGTGGATGCCCAAGCTCCTGTCTCTGACCTGGGAGTGTTTTCATGTCCTGGTCTTCAGGGCCACAATGTAGGCCACTCTGTGTCTCTGTTTTTGTAGTTTCTTTCCTGCTTGTGAACACTATGGGGTGGGGGGCATTGGCCATTTTATAATTCCTGAGTGGGTGGCCAGCTGAACTAGGCCAGGCCAAAACCCTGACCTCTGATCAGGGATCTCTGACCTTGGTTGGGCTGTGACCTCTGGGTGCCAGGCCACAGGGGCCAGGGCTTTAACAGTTGGTTCCTCCCAGGTCCTTCCTCAGATCCCTATGAAGAGTGGTGGTCCTCATGGGGCAGGGGTCCTCGGTGAGTGACTAACCATCTCCCCACCCCCATCCCTGGAGGCCCCTCCTTTTCTAGATACATAGTTGGGGAGGGAAAGTGGGCAGTGGTTAGGCTGTGGAGTGGTGGTGCTTATTGGAGTCATCCTCATCTCCTTCCCCTAGGAGTACACTTGGAGGGCCCGTTCATCAGCCCAGAAAAGCGGGGTGCACATCCCGAGGCCCACATCCGCTCTTTTGAGGTCAATGCCTTCCATGATTTGCTGGCTACCTATGGGTCCTTGGACAACGTCCGTATTGTGACGCTAGCCCCTGAGCTGGGCCGCAGCCATGAAGTGATCAAGGCACTAACAGCTCAGGACATCTGCGTGTCCCTAGGTAAGGGGGGTCATCTGAAGTGGCTGGGCCTGTTTCTGTCCTGGGTGGGTGCAGAGTCTGATTCGAAAGTCCCTCACACAGGGCACTCAGTGGCCCACCTGCAGGCTGCAGAGGAAGCAGTACAGAGTGGGGCCACCTTCATTACCCACCTCTTCAATGCCATGCTGCCTGTGAGTGCCACCCAATTTCCTGGGTAGGTGGGGATTCAGTGGATCCTACTGTCACTTAGTTGTTTTGTCCTGTGCTGCCCAGTTCCACCACCGTGACCCAGGCATCGTGGGGCTTCTGACCAGTGACCAACTACCCCCAGGCCAGTGCATCTTCTATGGGATGATCGCTGATGGCATACATACCAACCCTGCTGCCCTGAGGATTGCCCACCGGGCCCATCCCCAGGGTAAGCCTCTGGGGAGGTTGGGGCAGGTAGGATGTGACCAGCAAGGTTCTGAAGCACTTTCTTACCCAGGACTGGTACTTATCACTGATGCTGTCCCTGCGCTGGGCCTGGGCAATGGCCGTCACACCTTGGGACAGATGGAGGTGGAAGTGGATGGGCTGATGGCCTGCATTGCAGGTGAGTACCCACTGCACTCACAGAAGAATAGCCCCTTGGCCCTTCCATTCAGAGAGGCAAGAATCTGGTATTCTTTGCCTGGCTGACCCTCAGATGCATAGTCCCCTGAGCCTGGCTTCTTTGTTGTCAAGGCACCAAGACACTGTGTGGCAGCATAGCCCCAATGGATGTGTGTGTCCGACATTTTCTACAGGCCACAGGTCAGTGGGCCTGTACATGGGAGGGTATGTGGGGGGGCAGTAGCTAGAGGAGAAGTGGGGTGACAAGAGTTCTGCATTAACTTCCTCATTTGCCTTTTCAAGGGGGTTCCCAGGGTATGAAGTAGAACTGGGAATGTGGACAAGGCAGAGAGAAGGGTAGTGAGCAGCAGGTTACTCAAGCTGACATTGAGATTAATGAAGCCAAGATCCCAGATGGAAAAGGGGCTCTCACACTATCTGATAGAAGGTCCAGGGCTAGTGCTATTGGATGGCAGGACTCTGCAGGGTCAACATCAGTGGGCAGGAAGAGTGGGAAAGTGAGTGGGTAAGCTGTACAGGGACCTCCTGAGGGAAAAGCAGAGAGCAGGTATCTGACAAATGCTTGAGACTGGATGTCCTTCTGCAGGCTGGGGGAACATCAGGGTTCAAAGTGCTGTTTAGGGAGATGGGCTGGGAACAGGGCGTAGCAACAGCCGGGGGACTTCCCAGGAGTCAGAAGATGCTATGCCCTGGCTTTGTTTGGTAAGTGGGCAACAGGAAAGAAAGTGAAGTCACTTGGCTTCTTGGTTACAGGAACAAAGTGTGAGCCCCATGTGTGGCTGCTGGTGTGGTGGGCCTGGACATTGCTTCTTTACATATGGTGGGCTCTCCATGGGACCTAGGAAGTGGTTGAGGGTCCTGGGGACAGAGTGCTTTCTCAGGGAGGAGAGGGTCTTTGTATGGCCAGGAAGGTGAGTGATCTAGGGAAGAATAGTAAGCAGTATCCCGAAGCTGGGGGAGGTCCTTTTAATCTGCTTCAGAGACCAGGCCTGTCCCACTTTGACTCTGGGCCCTAAAACGGGACTCCGCTGTGCATGGGGCAGTGGCCATGGGCTATTGCCAAGCTGTGTACCTGATCAGGCTGCAGTGTGGAGGCGGCCCTGGAGGCTGCATCCCTGCATCCCGCCCAGCTGCTGGGGCTGGAGAAGAGGAAGGGGACTCTGGACTTTGGTGCTGATGCAGGTAAGGCCCCATTCAGATGAGTCCCATGCAGGGGCTGGGACAGGCCCAAGTTGATAGGTCTTCCCTAGATTTCAGCCATTTGGTGGCCACCACAGCCTCTACTGGTCCTCCCTTTCTTGTTTTCTAGTCTTTCTGGCATTCACGATAAGGCCAGGAGCTGAGCATAGTGGTGCTGCCTATAATCTCAGCACTTGAGAGGCAAAGGCAGGAGGATCGTTGCTAGTTCCAGGTCAGCCTGGGCTACATAGTGAGTTCAAGGCTAGCCTGAGATACATAGCCAGACACTGTCTCGGAAAAAGCAGGGGGATTGTCCCTTGTCCCTGACTATGAGGAGTTAAGGACCTTTGTCAGTGTTGTGAGAAGTCAGGATGTCCTGCATTAGTGTTATCCCTGGGCCTCAGTTTTCTCACCAGGCTTAATTGCCTGGGAGTGACTTCATTTGCAGGGTATAAGGTCCCTTCCCAACACCTCTCACCCTCTGGCTCTGCCCCAGACTTTGTGGTGCTCGACGACAGCCTCCATGTCCAGGCCACCTACATCTCAGGTGAGCTGGTGTGGCAGGCAGAGGAAGCCAGGCCATGACCTCAGACCTCGGCTGGAGAGGACGCCTGGCCAGCCCCAGCTGGACACTGATCGGGCGGGCATCTTCGGGAGCTGGTCTCCAGGGAACAAGTTGGGAGCCCCCATGCCAGATCGACATTCATAGACCAGAGCTAGCAGCCACCCTGGAGGTGATGGCTTGCATAAATGAGCAGCAGGATTTGCCTTGTCTCTGGGTTTTGCTTATACTTCATTTGGGGCATCGGGGGAAAGTGTTCATGGCTTGGGGCAAAAACAGTTGGATTCCTCAGGGGGTCTGTTAGGCCTAATTTGCCTGAAGCCACAGGAAAATCTTCAGAGCCAGGAGTGGTGGTGGACGCCTGTAATCCCAGCATTCAGGAGGCTGAGACAGGAAGGTTGCTGCAACTTTGAGACCAGCCTTGGCTACATAGTGAGTTTAAGGCCAGCCTGGACTACATAGTGATACCTTCTCTAAAAAGAAAAAAAAAAAAAAAAAAATCAAAAGGAAAATGTTAAGACTTGAGTGGAGGGAGGGGGAGATTCATCCCAGTGAGATAGGATAGATGGAAACCATTCATTGGTTGGCATGCTGCACAATGGGGCTATTTTTTTTTTTTTTTTTTGTCTTTTTCCTTTTTATCAGTACCAGGGATCGAACTCAAGACTGCCTGCTTGCAAGGCAGGCGCTTATGCCGCTGAGCTAAATCCCCAGCCCCCTCAAAGGGGCTATTGACTATGATGATAAGTAGCTTCAGAAGTTTGCTCACTGCCTCTGAGATGGCTGGGCAGGTTGAAAGCCCATGGCCTGATTCTGGGTTTGGGCACCTCTCCAGGAACTCTGCATTGCAGGAGGGAGTCCACAGTGGGTTTTGGATCCCAGGTCACCCAGGGCTGAGTGCAGGAGTCTGTGGCCTACGGGCCTGCAGCTTGGTCCTGGAATATCTGGACACTGCTTTCTAGATTGCCTGGCTTGCCTGCCCTTCAGTTACACCCTCTAGCACCCTTTTGGGTAATCTAGGTTCATTTTCTTTTGTTTTTTTTTTATCGGTACCAGGAATCGAACTCTCGACTGCGTGCTTGCAAGGCAGGTGCTTATGCTGCTGAGTTAAATCCCCAGCCCTAGGTTCATTTTCTTTGATGTTGTTTTTCAACAGTCCCTTCTCCTGACCTAATCTTTGCATGTGACAAGCTTGCCTCACGTGGTATTTGGTGGCTACTTTGTCTGGTGCTGCAGTCTCACAGTCTCACAATTGCCTCAGACCCTGAAACTCTGAATTTGCCCCCTGGAAGTAATGGCAGTTCTCCTGCTTCAACCTCCTGAGTACTGGGATTGTAGGTGTATGCCACCATGCCTGGTGCCATTATTGTCTTGGGCCGTGCACCCTAGGCTGGCTTCTCCCTACTTGGAGAGTATGAGCTGTCAGTTGGCAGATTTCACTGCTCTCTTGGATCTGATGATGGTTTTTGACATGAAGGTCAAATGCCAGATCTGAAAATGGTGTCTTAACACTCCCCTTTTGGGAATACAGTAAAATAGTTTTACCTATACAATATGGTAAAACTGTTTCTTGGTGCAGGAAATTGCTGACATGTCGCAGGACGTTTTGAAGGTGGCTCCCATCAAAGGAGATGTGTCCAGATCCAAAGCAATAAAAATGGTCTCTGATCTCATGTTTGAGGACTAATAGCATGAGAAGGGCAACTGTTGGGGAAGGGGTCATTCACAGGGGCACATGGGGATAGGTCTTGGCCCACATGCCTTTGAATATACACTGTCAGCCCAAGACAATAAGCATGGGGATTCCTGGGTCTGCCCATGGACTCATGCCTTCTGTGTGGCTGACAAGCCCCTATAGGGTGCCTGGTGCCAAAGACAGACACAAATGTGGGCCAGGCAGACCTCACTCCAGATGCTTAATGAGAGTTAACTCCACCTTTCTGCCAAAAACTCAGAGTGAGGTCCTATTTGTTATCCCGACTTTTAGTGCACTATCAGAGGAGCTGCCAGATGGGAGGTCAATAGCAGTGGGAAGTTGGTGCTGGGACTGAATTACATATCAATAAACTTTTACAAGCCCAGAGGCTCAGAGCTTGTATAGATGGGATGAAGACAGCCATGTGGATGGAAAGTGGTTGGCGTGGTTAGTGGCATGGTGGTATGGACAGGAGTCTGGAGCTATTGTGGGAGTGTGGATTTTATTTGAGGTGTAGGGCCAGTGCAGATGGGATTGTATTAGTTTTTAAAAATATAACAAATTCTGCTGAGTATGGTAGCACATGTGTTAATTCCAACACTTGACAGACTGGAAGGAGGAGGATCACCATAAGTCTGAGGCCAGCCTAGTTTACCTAGTGAGTTTAAGGCCAGCTTGGACTATACATTGAGATCTTATCTCAAAAAACCAAAAGTCAGTAAATTAAAGAAACACATTTTACAATCAACCATCTGTGAGTGTAGTGCTAGAGATGGACCCTAGGGCCTCACACATGCTAGGTAGTGCTCTACCACTGAGCTATATTCCTAGCCTCTGTGTGTGTGTATATATATATATTTTTTTTTTTTTGTACCTTCGATTGAACTCGACTTTGAGCTTGCCAGGCAGGCGCTTACACCACTGAACTAAATTCCCAGCCCCCTAGCCTGTTAAATTTTTTTAAAAATTAATTTATTTATTGGTACCAGGGATCAAACTCATGACCCCGCATTTTCCAAGCAGGCACTAACACAGCTGAACTAAATCCCCAGCCCTTATTTTTAAAAAAATTTTTAAATTTATTTATTTTTATCTTTTTGAGACAGGGTCTCGCTATTCTACCACACTCAGTTCAGGCTGGCCTTGAGCTCAGTTTGTAGCCTAGGCTGGTCTTGAACTGGCAATGATCCTCCTGCCTCAGCCTCCTGAGTGCTGGAAGTATAGGCGAGGTATGTAACACCATGCCCAGCTCTAACCAATTACTTTTGGAGACAAGGTCTTGCTGTGTAGTTCAGGTTGGCCTTGAACTGACTGTGGAACCCAGGCTGGTGTTGAGCTCCCAGTGATCATCCTGCCTCCGCCTCCTGAGTGCTGGGGTTACAGTGGTGCCCCACTATGCTCTGCCCCATTGCCAGCCTTTTAATATTTATTATCTGTATTTACTAGGATGGTGCTGAGACAATGTCTCTGGTCTTACTGTGTAGTCCAAGCTGGCCTTGAACTCACCAAATTAGCCCAGGCAGGCTTTGAACTTGGGATCCTGTCTCATCCTCCCTTTCCAGTAGCATGCTCACAATGCTCTGCAACCTGTCACACCATCCATTTGCTTGCAGGCACCTGGCAAGGTGGTCTATCTGGTATGGTGGTCTTCCTGGTGCTGCATCAGCTTGCGCATCACGTGGGCCGTCCTGTAAGCAGCGGTCACTCCGGTGTGCGGGGCGGACCTATGGGTAATTAAGATTCAAGCTTCTTGGAACTGACAACCCAGTCCGGTGCTTCCTCTTCTGTGAGCTCAGCTTCCCAGGCCTGTTGCTGAGGGTCATGTACTTGAGATCTGGCAGTGATTCGAGCGAGGAATGGCTGCGCCCCGGACCAGAGACATGTCTCCCGAGGATGGGAGTGTGCTTTTTATCTTTTGACCCAGCAGAAGTGCGTGGGAACTCTATTGTGTCCCAGTGTGTTCACTGTGGTCTTCCAGAGCTTTTTTTGCTCAGCATTTGTCTCTGGTGTGGTGGGGTCAGCGACCTCTCAGGTGAGGGCCTTCACCATGGCCCTCTGGACCTTGTCCTTCCCACTGATAGAACCTACCAGAGTTGTGTCCTGGTCTGTTTTTTTTGGCGGGGTGCATTGGGGATCGAACTCAAGGCAGGTGCTTATGCAGCTGAGCTAAATCCCCGATCCTGGTCTGTTTTACCACATGGGACTGCTCTTTTGGTTGTGCCACCAAGTTCTCTATTTAAATTGAGGGAGCAAGTAGAAAGCTTCCCAGGTGGGAATGCATGGGTCAGTCTCGTAATGAAAAGTGCTCAGAGTCCTCGAAAATGATTCCCACAGTGAAACACCCTCACCTACCACCTCCCCTCCACACAGCTAAGGATTTGCCTTGGGTCAGGGATGGGCCATTCTGGGGACCCAGACACTCTAGGTGAGTCTTCTTGACTCTGTGACTACTTTATTCTACATGAGCCCTGGAGACCAGAGAAGGCCCTTCTGTGTATTTTCTATTGCTGCTGTTAAAAGTAACCACAAACCTGGTGATTTAAAGTAGAAGTGTGGGACATGGTAGTGCACATCTGTAATCCCAGCACTCAAGAGGCTGAGGCAGGAGGATCATTGTGAGTTCGAGGCCAGCCTGGACTACATTAGAAGACCCTGTCTTTACTAAAAAAAAAGGTGGATATGGTGTCACATCCCAGCACTCCGGAGGCTGAGGCAGGAGGGTCACTTTGGAGTTCAACACCAGCCTGAGTTACATAGTGTGTTCCAGAACAGCCTGAATTACATAGCTTAAAAAAAAAAAGAAAAAAAGAACAGAAGTTAAAATAGCAGAAGTCAGGCTGGTATAACGGCATACTCCTGTAATCCCAGCACTCAGGAGGCTGAAGCAGGCAGATTGTTGCAACTTTGAGAATACTGTGGGTTACAAAGTGAGCCCAAGGCCAGCCTGAATCACATAGCAAGACTCTGTCTCAAAAAGAAAAAAAACAGCAGAAGTCCATGATTTATGGTTTTGGAGGTCCATGTCATAAATTAGTCTCAATAGGCTGATACCAAGGTGATGACAGATCTTCGTTTCTCTCTCAGCAAAGAGATAGGAATCTACTTTCTGGTCTGGTCTATTTCCTAGAGGCTGCTGGCTTCTTCCCTCCCAGTTGAATCATTACAACCATGCCTTTTCCTTTCTTGTTTTCCATTATTTGTGATCCTTGTGTCTATATTGCCTACCCCCATGCCAGAATCACCCTGGCTACCCTCTCTGTTTTAAGGTCACTTGAATAGCAACTTTTTCATAGAGGAATGGTGGCAAACCTATGGCACACATGCTGTCAGCACAGGAACCAAGTCATTTCAGCAGCCAAGTCTCAGATAACAGTTTTTTCTAAAAATCAGGTTTAATTTAGTGTTGGCACTTTGTGATGAGTAAGTTTTGAATTACAGTTTGGACATCCTGTTTTTAAAAGGTTTGTCATCCCTGTTATAGAGCATCACCGGTAGGGCGAATTAAACAGTGGATATGTTTGGTGAGGCTATTACTTTTTTTTTTTTTGTCTTTTTTCATTTTTATCAGTACCGGGGATCAAACTCATCACCCCCTGCTTACAAGGCAGGTGCTTATGCCGCTGAGCTAAATCCCCAGCCCCTGGGCTGTTATTCTTAACTTGAATGTCTTACCAAGACCCAGAGAAGAGTGCTCCTTTTAGGACTTAAGCAAGGAGGGGCTGGGGATTTAGCTTAGTAGCATAAGCGCCTGCCTTACAAGCATGCAGTTGTGAGTTTGATCCCTGGTACCAATATAAAAAAAAAAGTAAAAGAAGTATATATTGCATTTTTATCTTCAGTGGGTTAAAGTTCCTGTTTTCCTACATTCTTACTAACATTGAATGTTTTCAACCTTTGAGATTTTAACTAATTTTTTTCTCAACCCACTTTATAACTGGGAAGTTGAGGTTTGAGGAAGGTAGGTTAAGCTTGTATAAGATATCATGCAACTTTCTGCTTCCTGACTCTCAGATTTCTCACTTAGCGCTGTTTTTAGGGGTGGGAGGATGTTAGTTCACTCATGTGGCTTGGAAATCACTGGGTCACTTTGTCATCTCTCATCCATCTATGCATTGGCAGCTATGAGCAAATACATGTTGGGAGCTGTGAGTATAGTATCCAAGGACCAGGGGGTGGAGGCTGGGGTGTTTGAGAATCCCTCTCCTTTCATCTGTCCATATCCTCACTGGTCTTCATGCCTACCTATTTACCCTGGTGACCCCTTCTCTAGACCCTAGTTAGATACTGCTGGAGAGTCTATATTACAAAATAACTGGCTTCACCGCCTGACAAGCCCTTTGTTGGCTTCATAATTCAGTGTCCATTTTGGATTACCCCTCTGTTCTTGTTTCTCCCATCTCTGCCTATATGCTGCCTACTAGGCATGAATCCTGACCTGCCCTTGGCTAGCCATGTTAGCCAGTCTTGAAGCTAGTCCTCATGATGCTACTCCTGCTGATGGATATGGCAGATGTAATGGTTTACTTTTTTTTTTATTGTGTAGTTTTTAGTATATGTTTGCTATACATAATGATTGCATTTATTGTGGTAAGTTTGTACGTGTACATAACACATTTTAATTTTTTGTCCCCTCCTTTAATTCTTCCCTGCTCCCTCCAACTCTTGATCCCTTCCCGATTTTAAATAGCTCTGTTTTGATTTTTTGCTGATTGTCTCCCGTTTTCATTTTTCAGACAAGGTCTCCCTGTGTAGTTCAGGCTGGCCTTGAACTCACTATATAACCCAGGCTAGCCTGGAACTCACAGCAATCCTTTTGCTCCAGCCTCCAGAGTTCTGGGATTGCAAGTGTGCACCACCATACTTGGTTTTAATTCTTTTTTAAAATCCTCTTCTCCTCCATCTCTTGTTCCCCTTCTTGTCTAAAAAAAGTGGCTAGGTGTGGTGGCACATTCCTGTAATTCCAGCCCTCAGGAGGCTGAGGCAGGATGCTTGTCTTCACTATATAGCAAGACCCTGTCTCAAAAAAATAAAATAAAATAAAAAGATAATCTCCCTATTTCCTATTACCTATCCTTTATTTTTGTTCTTTATATTTTGGGGTTTGCATACAGGGAAATTCATGTGATATTTAAATTTGTGTGTCAAATTTATTTCATTTAATGTCTTGGTCTCCAGGTACATGGTTTATCTCTCCTGAAGTTAGGTTATAGAAGGCACCATGAGTGGTTGGGATGTGGTTCAGTGGTAGAATTCTTGCCTCGCACACCCATGACCCTGGGTTTGATCTTCACTACCACAAAAAATTAAAAATAAAAAAAGAATTTCCACATAGTTCTTCTTTTGGCTGGGGGTGGTGCATACACCTCAGGATGATCACCACCAGTTTGAGGCCAACTTGGGCTACATAAGCAAGTTTGAGGTAAGCCTGAACTACAGAGTGAGACTTTGTCTCAAATAAATAGACATCATGGCTTCCAGGTTTGTGTGATCTGTTTTCCCTCTGGTCACTTGCTGTGGTGAGAGCTGGTTGCTGCTCCATTGCTCTGGGAATTGCTTTTTGGAAGTAGCATCTCCCACCCCACCCAAGCCTTCAGATGTTTTAGCCCTGAGGAAGCCTGAACCAGACTACCCAATCTGGCCCCTACTTGGTTCCTGACTCGCAGAAATCATGAGATAATGTGTGTCTGCTGTTTGGGGGCAATTTGTTACAGAGCAATGGGAATAGAATACTTTGCTGGTGCATGAAGTCATGGAAGTGACATATGCCTATCGTCAGTGCACAAAGTTTCCTGTTTCCTATAAGAGATAGGACATGCCTCATATAGCCCGTGCTCTGTGCATGCCAGGGGTCTCCCACTCCTTTTTCCCCTCCATTGCTCTGCAATGCTTGGCCAACCCACTGCATCGTTGGCTATATGCCACCTTTCAACCACAGACGGACTGTAGGCCAGGAAGGAAGAGAGAAAAACGAGGGAACAGAGCCTCTCCTTTCAGCGTGGGAGCCAGACCATGTGAGACATCTCTCCCAAAGTCTTGTTGGCCTGGGAGGTGCAGCCAGACCCATGCCCTTCCTGGCCAGGCCTGGGTCTCTCCTGCTGGCTGCCGTCGGACTCCTAGAAGCCTAAAAGCTGACCTTCCTCATTCCCCTGTGCTTTTCCTATTCTCCCTCTGCTGCCAACTTACCACCTTCCCTGAGACTGTTGGCAGCATGTTCACCCACTGCTCTATGTGCTTCCCTGAACAGTATACAGTCTCCAAAAGTTTCTTCTCTCTCCTTTTCCGTTTCTCTGGGAATTCCTCAAGAACTGCAAATTGGTACAGTAATTTAGATTCTTACACAAGTGAGAGATCCTTAAAATTTCTAGGGAGAAGATAATGCTATTTATTTGTATGTTTATTTTTTGAAACAGGGTCTTGCTATGTAGTTCAGATCACCTTTGAACTCTCTACTGAGCCCAGGCTGGCTTTGAACTCGTAGTGATCTTCCTACTTCAGCCTTCTGCCTGAGTTCTGATATTATAAGGCATTTGCTACTATGCCTGGCTATCTGGTATATGTGTGTGTATGTGTCACATTTACCCAATCATGAGCATAGATTGGATTTTAAGTTTGTTTAGTCTTTTTTTTTTTTTTTCATAGTACCAGTGATTGAACCCCGGATCTCCTGCATATGAGGCAAGCACTCTACCACTCAATTATATCCTCACCAACTCCTCTTTTTATTAATTTTTATTTGCATTGATTTTTTTTCCTGGTACTGGGGGCCAAACTCATGATGTCACAGTTGCCGGGCAGGGGTTTATGCTGCTGAAATAAATCCCCAGCCCCTGCATCAATGTTTTAAAAGCCCAAGTAGTCTGGATGTGGTACTGTGCACCTGCAATCCCAGTTGCTCTGGAGGATCACAGGTACAAGTAGTATTTGAGGAAAGGATCACATATTCAAAGCCATACTGGGTGTAGTGGCATAGGCCTATAAACCCAGTACTCAGGAGATCAATACAATTTCTAGGCCAACTGGACTACATAGTGAGACCCTCTCAAAGCAAAACAAAACAAGTTCAAGGCCAGCCTAGGTAACTTAGCAACGTCCTGTCTAAAAATAAAAAGTAGGGATATAGCTCAATATAAAGGCCTTGGATTCAATCCTGTGGTGGGGGGGAGAGTACAAGAATGAGTAGATTTTAAAAAGCATATAATGAAAAGTAGCCGTTGGCTGATTTCTCTGAACTCACATCCTGCTTACTATGGGTTCAAATGTTTTTCTTATCTATGTCCATCATTCTAAATATCTTTATATCTCTTCATTTGTGTTGTTATCTATTATCTTTCTATTGAAGAGATGAGGATTCGGCTGTCAGACACTCAGACATACCCAAATCCCTGTCGCTTGTCCAGGCAGAGTATACTGATTACTCGTTGAATCAAAGTACTTGATCATAACTGTAAATGGCACTCAGCAGAAAGGAATAAAAGGAGGTATGGACTGTGATTGTGCTTGCTTTTTGTAGAGCTGTTTTTCTGGAGTTTTTGTTTGTCAGCTTCTCAGTTTAGCTTTCCGTGTGGTGAGAGTCTATCATTTTTTTCTGCATTTTTATGGAATTTGCTGGAAGGTTGCTCTGCTTGTTTCTGGATGCTCCTTGTAGCTGCTGCTTAGCCTGAGTTCTCACCATCCATTTAAACTTATGTCACCTTCCTGGGCACTCTTGTGACCTAATTTTCTTTCTGACCCACAGCATTTACTATCTTCTAATATGCCATAAGGTTTTTTTTTTTTTTTTTTGGACTAGGGATCGAACTCATGACCTTGTGTCTGCCAAGCAGGCACTTATGCCACTGAGCTAAACCTTGCCATGAGGTTTATTTATTTATTGTGCTTGTTCACTTTCTTCTACCCCTGCCAGTGTACTGACACTTCACAAGCTCAGAGGTTTTTGTCTTGTGCACTGTGAATTACCAGTGCACAGTGCAGGGCTTGGCACAGAGGAGGGGCTCAATGAATATTGGTTGAATGGACAAATCCTGGGACTTCTCTATACTCCTGTGAAGTCTTTCCTGCTTCCTGTTTCCAGATCTCATGTCCTCTGTTTGGTTTACTTTCTTATTTGATAGAGCATATTCTTCAATAACTTTCTGGGAACAATATGTAAAAGATATGTAGTATCTATAGCTATGTATATATTCAATGTCCAATATTTAGTGTACTAGTTGGCAAATTGATTCACATGTTAGATGGTAATGAATATTGAGTATCTTTCTCAAAAGTTTGTAATGAGAAATTAAGTCAAATAAAATGGTTAGCAATCTCTAAGGACAATTTTTCTTTTCTTTTTTTGGTGTTGGAGATTGAATCCAGGGCCTTCACACCTGGTATACGTCCCTAACCATTTTATATTTTGAGGCATAGTCTCACTAAGTTGGCCACACTAGGCTCAAACTTGCACTCTTCCTATCTCAGCCTCCCAGATGCTGGGATTAGAGGGCTGGGCTACCACCCCTGTCCTTAATAACTTGCACACTGCTTTTCCAAGACCAAAATAAATACAAAACAAGGGTTGTTGGGAGAAGGTTGAGTACAGTGGCTAAGGGCAGGACATGGCAGTTGGACAGGTCTGTTTTGAGATGTGTGCTTTTTGATCTAACTGTTTGACACAGCAACTAATTTTCTAAAGCCTTGGTTTCCTCAGGAAAAAGTGGGAGTGATTATGGCTCTTACTGCTTATGGGGCCCAAGAAATCACATGGGGATTATTGATGAAGGATACTATTAGACGTGTCTTCTTGGTGGTGAGAGTTGGTGCCCAAGAAGGGTGAAAGTGGAATACCCTTTCTGAAGAGAGGCAGGTATTTGGCAGCATGAATTACACTTTTTTTTGGGGGGGGGATCTTTTTTGTTTTTATCAGTATCAGGGGTCGAACCCATGACTGCCTGCTTGCAAGGCAGGCGCTTACACCGCTGAGCTAAACCCCCAGCCCCATGAATTACACTTTTAGATCACAACTCTATAGGCTTAGAATTTATTCTAGGGGAAGTGTGCCTAGATTTTTGCGCAGGACAAAAACAAAACAAAAAGCAGAACAAAATGGAAGAAATTGACCAAAACATGGTTCCAGAAACATTTATCCCATCCATAAATGAAATGTTCCTCCAGTGGAGTCTTTTGCAGCTCTTACTGCTGTGGAAGAAAGCAGTCAGTAACTTGAGACCTTCTCAGAGATGGGGTTATAGTTGCCTTCTTGTTCTTTTCTTTCTTGTGGTACTAGGGACTGAAAGTAGAACATTCACACTGAGATATATTCTGAGCCCTGTTTTATTTTTGCTTTGAGATAGTAAACTTGCCCAGGCTAGGATCAAACTTGCAGTCCTCTTGCGTCATCCGGTTAAAGTGCTGGGACTTACAGGTGTGTGCAACTACACCCAGCCTTTGTTACTGTTTTTTTTCTTTCTTTGGTGGTACTGGGGATTGAACTCACAACCTTGCACTTGCCAGGCAGGCATTATGCCACTGAGCTAAATCCCCAGCCTCTGTTACTGTTTTCTAAAGTCTTAAATGTAGAGAGGACTGACTGAAGCCTGAACAGTGGAGATGCTTTCTAGTCTGGGGATTTATGTACAGGCTTTGGCATGTAGATGTCTGGATCCCAGTCCTGGAACTCCCATTGGCCTCAGTTTCCTCATCTCAAAAGTGGGTCAACAACATCAGGGATGCTTGTTCAGAGTAAATGGGATTAGGCAGGCAAGAATTCTACCACTGAACCACCAATGCTAAATGAGATTACGAAGGAAAATCCTAAATTTTGAATAGATGTGTCTGTTATTGTTCAGTAATTTATCTGGTTTATGTAAGTTATGAATTAGTTTATCCACAAAAGTGTTTTTTGAGATGGGGCCACCTTCCTGATACAGCTTCTCAAATTACTGAGACTACAAGGGCATGTTACTGTATTTGGCTTTACATTTTTATTATTTTCATTTTCTCACAGTATGGGCATTAAACCCCAGAACTTTACACATGCTAGGCAAGTGTCTTACTACTGAGTTGCATTTAGCACTTTTTTTTTCTTTTTGATACAAGGTCTTTCTATGCAATTCAGGTTGAACTTGAGCTAGCTTCCAGCATTTTTCTGCTTTTTTTTTTTTTTTAAGACAGGGTCTCAATACATAGTTGAGGCTGGCCTTGAACTCACCTATATAGACCAGCCTGGGTTCAAACTCATGATGATCCACCTGATTCAGCCTCCCAAGTGCTAGGATTATAGAAACGTGACAACACACCTAGTTAAAAAAAACTTTGAAAAAGAATTTTGAGACTGTAGCTAAATTGTAGCTAAATTGCCCTGAGGTTGAACTTGTGATCCTCTTGTGCATCCTTAATAACTTGCACACTACCACATTCAGCAAGATTTTTTTTTTTGGTCTTTTTCCTTTTTATCGGTACCAGGGATCGAACTCACGACTGCCTGCTTTTAAGGCAGGCACTTATGCTGCTGAGCTAAACCCCCAGCCCCCATTCAGCAAGATTTTTATGAAAAAAATTGGTTTTGGAAATATTTAAAAATATGCAGGGGCCAAATGTAGCTTACTGGTAAGAGTGTATGCTTAGCATTAGCATGTGTGAGATCTTGGGTTCAATTCCCACCATCCCATAGGACTTTTTTTTTTTTTTTTTAATCAAACCCATGACCACGCACTTGCAAGGCAGGCGCTTATGGTGCTGAGCTAAATCCCCAGCCCCCTAATTCCCACCATCAAAACCCCAAAAGAAAATACTGTGATGTAAACTTGCAGATGACAAGGATGATCCTAACTTTTTAGAGGGTCAGGCGTGGTGCATGCGTATAATCCCAACACTTGGGTCACTGTGAATTTGAGGCCAGCCTGGGCTACATAGTGAGTTCAAACCAGCCTGAACACAGGGAGACCCTGTCTCAAAAAAAAAAAAAAAAAAAAAAAAAAAAAAGCCATAATCGTCATTATCCTTATTAACAACCAATAAGAAAAAAAAAAAAAAAAACCCACGCAACATTTACAGGCAAAAACAAAATTCCAAGAGTGCCCCCGAGCTGCTGTTGACAGCTACCGCCGGCGCGTTTCCGCCTAATGAATGACGGTTAGCTCAAGTCTGCGTGATTACACGTGATCGTGGAACTCGTCATCGAACTTCGTCATGCATCCAAGACAAACCCAGACTTTGAGTTTCAGCCCAGCCTCGCCGCTGCCTCGGGCATAACCTAATCTAGGCGCACAGCGAACCTCAGTTTCCCCCACTGGGAGCGTGGATGACAGCTGAGCCCGCCCCGTCCGGCCTCGCCCCGCCCCCGTTGTCCGGGATTGGCTTGCGAGGTATCCTCCTCCCCAGGGAGGGCCGGGTCCCAGTCCGGAAATGCGATTTGGGATAGAGACGCTTGCGAGGAGCGACGGTAGGCTTGGCCAATGGGCGTGGGAGGTGGCAGCGTCGCGGCGGAAGTACGGCCCGGCGTCGCGCGGGGGCGGGGCAGTGCCGGGGGCGGCGGGCGGCAGACGGCGGGGCGGGCACAGGATGAGGGCGGCCATTGCTAGGGCTCCGCCGCGGGGAGGAGGACGCTGAGGAGGCGCCGAGGAGCGCAGCGGTGCGGGGGAGGCGCCCGCGCAGACGCGGGGCCCATGGCCAGGACCACCAGCCAGTTGGTGAGCTCGCGACGGCTGTGGTGCGCGGCGATCCGTTATTCTCGAGCGCGGCGGCAGCTCAGGTCCGGCGAGGCGGGGCGGCTGGGTGCCTCGGCCCGGGCGGCGCCTCACCTGCGGCAGAACTGGCGGTCTGGACCGTGGGGCCAGCGGGGGACGCCTTTCGGCCGCAGCAGGGAGCGCAGGCCCCTGCTGCGCCGGTCGCCGGGTAGTTGGGGCTCTGACAGCGCGAAGGGCGGTGGAGGCTGGGAGGTATTACTCGGCTGGGCGGGGTGGAAGTGCCTGGAAAGTTTGTTGCTCGGCTCTGCCTGGAACCAGTCTCTGTGATTACCTTGCGGTAGTGTCTGCGGAGGAGCTGCTAAGGCCCTCATCTGAACTGGGGTCCCGAGAAGCAGAAGGTGGAGGATCCTCTTTTTAGGCACCTGATCCTCCCGGCCTGGTTTCTAAATTCTTGATTGGGGTGTTATGGGATCTTAGGGTACTCTTCTCACAGCCCAGGCAGTTGAGTACCCCTCCTGCTGTTGGCTCTGCTCGGCGAGGTGGGAAGCTCCCGGAGGCCGGGCTCTGAGGCCTTACCGAGGGGAGCTAGAGTTTGACAGAGAGGAGGGGTTTTTTTTGGGAAAAAACCAACCACTTGTTGGATGAAATGTTTCTTTGTGTTGCTAAAAGTATCCTTAATGTTTTTATATCTTCTTTTGTTAAATCTTGGAACCATGTATATCTTGTGAAGTGGGTGATAGAGAATGTCACATGACTAGCAAAATTTGGCTCAAAAGACAAATCCTCTGGGACTGGGAGTATGCCTTGGGTTCAAAATCGACAGCAACAATTAACAACAACAACAATGGCAAATCTCATTGAAGACCCAGAAAATTTACTTAGCTCCTTGTCTTTCAGGATGCAGCATTGTGATAAGGCTTCTTAATGTTTTTGGAGGATCGTCAGCTCTTTGGGAATCTGACAGAAGGTATAGCACAGGTTCTCGGTTGAGAAGTGTGCACAGCTGCACAGAGTTTTGTAATTACTTCAGGAGGTTCTTGAGCCTTCTGCAGCTCCATCCGTGGATTTAGGTTGCAGCTTTGTATTATAAAAGTGAGTGATAATTTAAAATCTGAAAGAAGGAGGACCTGTCTGGTTGACCGAAATGATAAGAGGCAAAAGGGATGTCTTTGACTCTTACAGCACTTATGGTTGTAGCTCAGGGAGTGGGGGAGTTCGGCTATTCTGAAAAAAATCACAAATTAGGCTACTACTGAACCTCAGTGGAGGTGGAGCAACAGTTACCATGATATGTGTATGTGTGTGTGTGTGTGTGTGTGTGTGTGTGTGTGTGTGAGAGAGAGAGAGAGAGAGAGAGAGAGAGAGAGAGGATCTCTGTAGTTCAGGCTAGCTTTGGAAGTCAAAGCAATCCTCTTGCCTCAGCCTCCTGAGTGTTGAGATTACAAGTGTGCACTACCACACACAGCTATCATGACGTTTGTAAGTGATCTTTCACCTAGTATTGTGCTGTAGTGCAAGGTACATATTTGATGGAGTTAGTAAGAAGGAAAAGAACACACTTTCTTCGTGGCCTTGGCACATCCAAATGATGAAAATTTGACTTCTGCAGTTTGCTTCACATCAGGTGGCTTTTTAAAATGTAAAAACACAGTCATCTAGCAAGCAGAAAAAATTGTAGAGGTTAGACCTCCACATTAAGGAAGAGTGCCCAGGCTATATCTTTTTCACCTAGCTTCCCCCACGTGATGTGTGTGAAAATATGCTATATTTTTGTCATTAATGACAGAAATAGTCCTATTGTTGGGTTTCCACCTGAAGCCTAATAGTGCATGATTGAAGTGGGTTTGTTTTGTATCTAGACTTTAAGATGGCACTCATGAACTGTTTGAGAAGGCCCTTGCCCTGATTTTCTTTTTTTTAAACTTTTTATCGGTACCGGGGATTGAACTCACGACTGCCTGCTTGCAAGGCAGGTGCTTATGCCGCTGAGCTAAATCCCCAGTCTCCCTAATTTTCATTTGAGCCTTTATACTTGTAATAGCCAACAAGAGAAGCAGTACAAACTGGGAAGGTGGAAAATGACCAGGCTTAGCTTAGGGTACCACTAAGGTGAGCTGGAGGGTATAGGTCGTATTTATCAAGCCCTTACTTGAAGGCAGATATTTGCTATATAGTTCATTCATGTTATCTTGTGATGTAGATATGGCTCCCATTTTACAGGTGGAGAAACTGAGGTGAAAGTGGTTAACTAAGAGTGCAGCCTGGCAAAGACCCTGCTATCATCCTGCTGCTTAGGTGATGAGTCTCAAGAGTGAGTCTACCAGGCATCTCAGCCTAGGACTTGAAATAAGAAAGCCTTTGGTGTCACTGCAGAGTGTCTTTGCAAGGTTTGAGCCTGAGTGTCTTGATCATGCTGTGCTGGAGCAGGAGAAGCATCTTCATATGGAAGGATAGCGCACTTATTTTTTTGGCAGATGACTGGACTGTATGACCCCTCGGGCCTGTTTTAGCTATGTCGTGTCAGAAAGCAGCTGTTTGGAAAGAAGCTCTGATTTGTTCTCACTGAGAGCTGATGCTTTGCTGGGATGAGGCTTGGAACCATTGCTTTGGAAAAAAGAAATGTGTAGTAGTTTTGTTAGAGGAAGAATTGGATTGAGTAGAGCAGCTTCCTGCTTTATTAGGCTCTATCATTTGAAAGGGTGTTGCATAATTGGAGAAGGTGATGGAGGCAGCTTTGAAATAAATGGCCTGCAGTTGTCACACTCTTTGGTAGCTCCCCCTCATGTGGCCTGGCTGACATGGTGGATGATACATTTTTGTGTCCAGTAATGCCCTGATAGCATTTACTAAACTGGCAAGGTGAGGTTGCCATGCTAATAAGAGATGGAAATGAGGGTCTGTCTCCCTCTTCCCCCAAGTATTTATAATTGGTTCTAGGGCCTATACACTGAGCTGCATCCCAGCCCTTTTTATTTTTTCTTTTTAGGTGGAATCTCACTAAGTTGCCCTTGTGATCCTTGTGGCTCAGTCTTACAAAGTGCTGGGATTAGGTTTGTACCACCATGCTCAGCTATTCCTTTGTTTGTTTGCTTGCTTGAGAAAAGGTCTCTGTGTAGTTTAGGCTGGCCTCAAAGTCACAGCATTCCTCCTGCCTGAGCTTCCTGAGAGCTGGAATTATAGACATGTGCCACCACACCTGGTTGTTCTTCTATTTTAACATGCATTTTACTGAGAAGAATCACAGCAGCATCCTGCAGAGCTGTGGGATCTGAAAGAGATGTGGGTAGTTCTTTGAGTCAGGTCTGGCTTCTAGGCTTTCTTCAGCAAGGTTTCAAAGGAGAACAGGTAGCTCCTGGACATGTGTGTCCCCCTTTTCAGTGTATGTCCCCACCCTCTGAGTCACCTGAGGCTGGGTTGGGATGCTCTGGGGCAGCTGATGAACTTTGGTGATTAGTTTGGAAACTGCAGAAATGAAGGATAAGGGCAGCCACTGCCCTCTGAGAATGATGTATGTGGAGGAGAGGGGCCTTAGCTTGTATTTTCACCTTCCCAAGGATGGACACCTTCTGTGGGATGGTCTTGGATTGGTCCAAGGGGGATTTTAGCTCTGTGAGGAGACCAGATCACTGCTGAGGAACACTGGGTACAGGAATGACTCTGCAGCTGGGGATTTAGCTCAGCAGCTCGAGGTCATGAGTTTGATCCCCGGTACCAAAAAAAAAAAAAAGACTCTCAGCAGATGCAACACCAAGGCCACGTGGGTGTGCTTCAGGTCTGCCCTTGGAATGACAGGTGGTAATGGAGTGCATAGCACAGTTGTTTTGAAGGCACATTGGAAGGGCAGTACATGGAGTAAAAGTGCCAGTGTGGAAATTGTAAGTTTTGGATATGCATTTCTTAGGTCTTCTCATTCAGGCATTGTTCTGTGACTGGCTCACACTCTTGTTCAATGTGATACCAGGTCCTTTTAAAAATACTTAAATGTTGCAAATAGATTGTGCATTCATTCTATAGCTGCTAGATCATAGGCAGGGTACATTTTCTCAGAGTTATGGGGAATGTGTTCTCTGAGAAGAGAAAGGATTATTTGAGATTTTCTTTGATTAGTTCATTGCGGTGAACCCAGAATATTTGCACTGAACTACAATTTCAGCCTATTTTTATTTTTTTGTCTTTATGACACAGAGTCTCACTATGCAGTGCAGGCTGGTCTTAAGCTCACTTTGTAGCCTAGACTGGTCTCAAACTTGCAACAATCCTCTTCTGCCTCCTGTGTGCTGGAATCACAGGCATGTGCCACCACCTTGCTCTATTTTATTTTATTTTTTTTAGTTTTTTGATTTTTTGAGACAAGATCTCACTAAGTAGTTCAGGCTTATCTTAAACTCACTTTGTAGCCCAGGCTGGTCTTAAACTCATGATGATCCTCCTACCTCAACTTCCTGAGTGCTGCAATTACAGGTGTGTGCTACCTGCCCGACTTCTATTTTTATTACACGTTTTCAATATGTAGTAATTATACTAAGTTTGGGGTTTGGCACTTATACATTTGATCATTTTTATTCCTTTTGTGCTACTGTCTTACCTTCCTTGAATTAAAATTTTTTTGTTTTACATTTTTTAAAATTTTGTGTTGAGGATCTTGCTAAGTCCCTAAATTGCCCAGGCTGGGCTAGAATTTGGATATTCCTGTGTCAGACTCCTAGAGCATTGGGATTACAGGTCTGTACCTACCATGCCCAGCTCCTGTTTGATTTTTGATGGCTATTGGAATCTGCTTTGGTACCTGACCTCAGATGCATTTGTATAGTTGCAGTTTGTTACCATTGTAGTTCAGAAAGTTTTCCTGATACTTAATTTGAATTTTTTCTGTTCTCTTTTTTTTTTAAATTGAATTTTTATTGCAATAAATGTCAGGTTGTTTTGCATGTGGTGAAAGTGATACTCAGTTCCTTGTAAAAGACTGACTTGCTTGGGCTTCAAATCCCTTAGCAGAGCACCTG